GTCGTCCCAGGCGGAAAATATGCCCATATCGTGGGGTGATGAATGGAATTCCTGTGTTTGCGCCGTCTCAGGGTGACCTAGAACCGGTTGAAAGGCCATAAATAAAAAGGAGAGGCCCTCACCCCTCACCGTCATCAGACACTGGGATCTATCAAGAATTCTAGACGTTACGCTCACCTCGCCTTGGCTTTTCCCTCTTTTTTCTATTCAGCATGTTTATCGACACCAAGGGGAAATTGAAGGAAAGGCAACTCTTGAACTTGAAAGGGCAACTTAGTTTATTAATTAAAATAGGCGATAATCATGGAGAAGAGGCTGCGACTAGTGCCATAGTCACCCAGGTTCTTGTTTTATAAGAAACTAAACATTCAATCAGGGTTGTTTTCTGTGAATAATGAATTTCCCAGTAGTTGGTCTCTTAGAGAGTTGATGGCCATTGAGAAGGGAACTTTTATATCTTAACTACACCTTATCCATTATTTAGCAATACGTCCTGTTCATGCCGATTTCTGTATGCGTTACCTGGGTACTTTCAAGCTTATTGATCGCAGCCATTACTCTCATTACTCATTAAATTTGCACGCATTATAGATACTTTCTAGTACAGCAATTCAATTTTTAAACATTCTCACTCGTTCTGAACAACGGTTTTTATTTTATATGTTCCCCTTGGTCTTGCTTTTTTTATTCTCTTTTACATGTTTATTTACACAATTTTTGTATTTTTACCTAGTTAAGTTTTACATTCTAATTTTTTTTTTATCTTTCCCTTTCTCTCTTGCTTTTTATATCTTTTATACTGGAAAATCCTCAAATGCCCTAAAGGGAGGGGGGAAAGTGAGAGAGGAGAATAATATATTGCCAGGTTAACCTCAGGCTGACGGAATGGAATAATTCCAAGTTGTAAATAATTGTAAATTGTAAATTGTCCTTTTACTATTATTATTTGTCGACACCTTCGGTAGATGGAAGGTCTTGTGAAAATATTTTCAAATTTTCCAGAAGCGAATCATTCGAATGTTAATGTATCATCAGCAGGTCACTTTTACCCGATCCCCTCTTTGAAAAACGTCACATTAATAACTACTTTTATCCTTATTGGGAGGAGGGGGAGAAGGTTTTCAAGCAATTAGCCCCTGGTGAAAAATTTATCTCCAGGCCACTTACTCCGCCGGGCCGTCTGCCAAATCCACCCGGGGCCTCTACACAACGCCGGGGTTTCATTCAGGGGTCCAATTGACCTGGTAACTCGTTAACGTTCCCGGTGATTCTGGAGCTTTACGACCTTTCAGGGTTATAAAACCCAATCGGGAGATTTTCGAAAAAAAAATTCACGGATTAACTATTCACCCTCTTGGGAATTTTCAAAACCTGCTTAATAAAGCAATACAATGGATGAAAGAGAGTAGATTAATTTTTGCTATTTAACTCACTTTTGGCATTTTACAATTTAACACAAAACAAAACTATAACAAACAATAAGCCTTCAATGATTGTTATAGCTTTAGTTTTGGTTCTACCAGTCGCCATGTGCGGTATAGGGGAAAAATTAACATACTAAGAAAAAAAAGGGCGTTCACGATCTTATTGAACATTTCTCGATTCGAGTTAACACGAGTTAACATCTAACAAACATCATGAATACCCCTAATATAATCGAAGGTATGAAATGCTACTCTGACTAGCTAATGATTAAGGTGAAGGAATGAGAAAAAAAAATCCGGCTTGCACATGGGTTGAGGATGACGTGTTCCACTAAACCAAAACCAATCATCGAAAAATCATGACGGAATTCACTACGACTTCGGCTCGAAACCGATACCACGGCCAGGCCGAGAAAAGAAATATAAAAAAAAGCCCCGACGAGACTAGGCGTGCCCACTGCGGTCTGCAGCAGATTTCTCAAAGGGAACGGCAACGCACGGTCCGTCGGTCTGTTATGGAATGACCCGAGAGAGTTTGACGACCTCCCTTATTAGCATAACTCGGCCGTTCCATGTCGAAAGACCCCGGAAGGGTGGCCAAATGGGATTTTACAGGTCTGGCGACGGTAATCGAGGTCGTCGAGCAGTTTATTAGACCGCCGGCACAAGGTCGGGGTGATTCACGCCTCTCGAAAGATTGATTGTAAAAACGGCCGTCGTCATTCATGATCGGACCAGTTATCAGGTCGTTATCTCCCGAGAACAGGTTGTATTTACGCCCGTAGTAAACAATGGCCAGCTGACTCCCTGATAAGATATTCATTCTTGCACCGAATCCGGCCCCGTTCTATAAATAAACTGGCCCCTCTCAGATAACGACCTCGGGCTATTTTAAAATCCCGATAATCACGTCACGCCGGAGACGAAAAGAAAATCCAATTCCATATCGTCTTTTCTAATTTCCTGGCACGAGAGTCAAGGGTAAACGGGAGCAGGCCATTGTCACACCGGCTCTTTTGTTCGGATTTTTTTTTAGGCGAGACGAGAAGGGTTTCCTTTGGATATTTTTTCTCACCATTGTACAAATCGGTTGAATGTACACATTCTGCAAACTATAACAACGAACTAAACAATGCACTAGTCTGTCCGCCTTAGTCAGAATAGAACGAACTCCTTGCGAATAAATCCCATGAAAAATTTGACTACTGTAAAACTGATCAACCTATACCTGTACCAACTGAGCCCGGTTTGAGCATCTACTCATTAACATCACTCGAAAAGTTACCAACATCAACTGGATAAGAAGAAACAGCCACGAATGCATTATAAACTGTAACCACGGTAACAAAAGACCTGACAGACTACACATAAATAAAAAGAACAACCAACTTATTAGATTAGTACTAACCGTCAGAAAAGATCTTACTATTAAACAAAAAAGCACTTATTAAGTGGACGATTTCACGAACTAACACTCGGATGAGGCCCGTTTGACATCTATTTATTAACATTATTCAGAAAGTTACCGACATTAACTGGATAGGAAGAAACAGCTACGAATGCCTTATAAACTAACCACGGTAACGAAAGATCTGACAAACTACACATAAACAAATAAATACAACAATAAACTTTTTTTTGCGAGGGTTCGCAACAGCAGAGGTCATATAAACCCTCAGGGTGCCGGTGTTTTTGAAAAAAGCCCATTTGTACGTATGTCGGGTTCGAATGCAGGACGGCTGGAGTCAAACCTGGGACCTTTACCTTACTGTGATGAGCGCCGTTGCGGCCACTGACGCCCCCCATCAACGTATTATTACATTAGTTAGTACTAACCGCCAGAGAAGGTCCTTACTACTAAACAAAAATAAAACACTTATTAAGTTGACGACTGAACACACTTAACCACATACAAAAATACGTTCACCACCAGACTTAACCATTATTTGCCATAATTGACTATCAGTATGACCTGCTAATACAATCGATTGATTATTAGCCATTACAAGAAATAGTACTACAAGAAAAGGTATAAAACTAATGCTAAATTGAATAAAAAAAGATGTTAGTACGAGGTTGACTTGTATATCAGTCGATTTTCATTAAAGAGTAAAATAAAATAATAATCCTTAATTGACTATTCCTACAAAAACACCTTTACTGACTTAACTATTCTTTGCCATAATTGACTATCAACACTATCATCTATCTGACTGACCAGTGACTATTACAAACAAATGGTAACCCACAGACAAGACCTAAAGCTAATACTAAACTAAATTGACTTGGGGTGAAAAAAAGGAATACTAGCAGGAAGTTGATTATTATAACAAAGTCGATTTTCATGAAAAAATACCAACCATTGACTATTACTACGATATCAATTGACTATTACTATAAAAAAAGAAAAAAAAAGTTCTAACAGGCTTAACTACTTTTTGCCACACTATCAGTACTACCAATTAAAATAATCTGATCGACTATGGACTATGACGACAAATGGTAACCTCCAGAAAAAATACCTAATTAACACTACACTGACTCTTTAAAAAAAGCTTATTATTCGTAAGTTTACTATTAGTACGAAGTTGATTTTCACGGGAAAAACTAACCATTGACTATTAATAAAAAAAACCTTTCTCTATCAGACTTAACTACTCAACTACTAATGGTAACTACCAGAAAATACCTAATTAACATTACATTGACTCTTTAAAAAAAGCTTATTATTTGTTGACTATAGTATAAAAAGCAAATTAAAAAAAAAAAAAAAAATACTATTAGTTCAAATACAATGTCTTAAATTGACGTACATATTTTTAAGAAACTATTACTATAAAGATAGCGCAACGTAATAAGATCTAATAACCCCATTATTGATTATTACAATAATACCACTAGCGAAGACAATAACCTGAAATCTAATATTACAACCAATCACACCCAGAAAAGACGTTACTACAAAAATGACTAAGTGGGCTCTTACTGCAAAGACGATTTCATTAAAAAAGACTAATTATCTATTTCTATACATTACTACAAAGACAATTTCGCCAATTAGGCCCACTGTAGTTGTAAAAGATTATTTCTATAAATATAACACAACCAGAAAAGTCACTCTAATTTACCATGGCATATTAATCATAATTTCTTAATTGACTATTACCATCGCTAACTATCAGGATAGTTTTATCAGAAACGGGTTTATAACTAAGATTCCTGACATATCAATATAATCTATTACTGCAAATACACCAACTCTTATAAAAACCTAAACACTATTAACAAAGACGAAATCAACTTGTATAAACAATGGCTAATTTATTTGGTTATTGTGTAAGTCAAATGGGAGGGACTAGGCTAACGCTGAATTGACTTTATACAGCAAATATACGTCCTAACTACCTCAGAAATGACTAAGAGTTCAATTAATATTTGCATGATAGGAAGCTCGATTATTGTGTGTTGAGGCGTATTATTGAGGGTTTGTCACAAGATAAACGTATTTGTTTAGATTGAATAGACAGGGTTTGTTATAGCTTATATTAATAGAGAAACGTTATTGTGATAAATTACCTGATAGGGATGCCTGTACGGCTGTGGCGGATACTGCTGGGAGGGTGATGCCGCCGGGGGCGGTGGGTACGCCCCCGCGCCCGGTGATCCGCTGTATCCTCGTCCGGCCTGTAACAAGAGAAAAAAAATGAAAATTAGCAAAAAACTCTGTTGGAAAAAAACACGTTGAAACCGCGGGGGAGGAAGTCAAGTGGTGGAACAAACGGACTGGTAGATGAAAGGAGCCCACAAAGGCCCCTCTAATGAATGGGCCCTGCGTGTGGACGGACTTCAGAATGAAGTCCACCGAACACACCGCAAATCCGATTTAACGATAGCATGCACTTTCGACCTTTTATACCAGCTATTTGCTGTTACCTTCAACCCTTTTTTTTTTCTTTACTTAGATTGAGCAATATAATAAAACTGCTAATTACAAAATAATTAACTTTTACAGAAAAAAATACACTTATAAGGGTTTTATTAATGTTTAAGCGAAAGATAAGATAGATAGGTAGATAGATAGATAGACAGATAGATAGATAGAGATAGAAAGAGAGAGAAAAAAAACGAACAAGTTGAGTGACTGTAATAAAAAAATGAGATTGATAGATAAGAAAGTGGGAGCTGAAATAGGTTAGATAAGTTGAAGAAGTAGGCGAGAGAAATTAAAGAGGCGAAAAAATGCTACGATGAAATTTCAGTAGAAGATAAATATAGAGACAAGGACGGGAGAAGGATAGAAACAGAGAAAGACATACAAGAGAGTAGATTCGTTGATAGAATAAAGAGATAGGTGAAAGAGTGAGAGAAAGTGACTGTAATAGATAAAAGGGATTTGATAGTAAGAGAGTAGGTGCTGGAATAGAGAGATAGGTTAGATAAGCAGTAGAAGTGGGAGATAAATGAGAGAAAATAAAGAGTGCTAAGATGAAATTTCAGTAGAAGATAAAGATAGAGAAGATCACGGGAGAAGGATAAAGACAGAGATAGGTGAAATATAAGACAGACTGGTAGATTAGATAAAGGGATAGGTGAAAAGTGATAATGAAAAGTAAGAGTGTGGGATGAGAGAGTGAGAGAGAGAGAGAGAGAGAGAGAGAGAGAGAGAGAGAGAGAGCGAGAGAAACAATATTGAGCGAAAACAGGAACGTAAAAAAGAGTTAGCAAGAGAAAAATCTGTAGGGTAGAGATAGATAGATAGATAGATAAAGAGAAAGAGGAAGGGGGGATAGAGAGAGGGGAGGGAGAGGGAGAGTGAGTGAGTGAGTGAGTGAGTGAGTGAGTGAGTGAGTGAGAGAGAGAGAGAGAGAGAGAGAGAGAGAGAGGAAAGGGGGAGCAAGAGAGAGTAAGAGAGAGTTAATTACTATAATTGCACCAAATGCATATTATTCCCATGTTTTCGGGAATGTTTCTTCTCTAAATCAAATCTCAACAGCGCGTCGTAACATAAGAATATAAATTTCATCAATTAATTAATCTTTTTATGTAAGTTTTTGGTTGAAATGAAAAAGTTAGTGCCAAGAGCGGAATTCGTCCCCACGACTCCAGTGGTAGACAAGCGGCGTATTTAGCCGAAGGTCGTGGGTTCGAATCCCGCTCTTGGCACTAACTTTTCATTTCAACCAAAACCTTACATAAAAAGATTAATTAATTCAAAGAAGTAATTTGGTCAATAGACGATTAAACATAATGGATTTAATAAATTTCATCTTTATGCAATAATGGCTAGTAGTTTTATTTAATTTATATTTGTGTATTGCTCAATTAAACCACTATAAATCAGCAATGTAAAGAGTTTCTCTCTCTTTTTTTTTATTTCCTCCCGGCGACGAATTGTTTCGACGGTTTTGTAGACACGGGTAGTATGGGTCCTTTTAAGAATGACAATAGGACCTTTTATGTTATTTGAACGGGTTTTATTCATTTGAAGAGCTTTAATATTGTACAAAGGACGAGCAGTATTTGGCGACAAAGACGCAAGCGAGACTAGGCGGATCTATAAAAGAACTTCTAAAAGAAGGATAGGGCTTGAGTCGATTTTTCCTTTAAAAAACCCAAGAATGGGGAACATATCAAAAGATCATAAACTCTATATAAGAGAAGTCGGATAAAAATATTAAAGAATTACTCCTTTTGAAATTTTTATATCTTTTGCTAAAAAAAAAAAGAAGAGAACAATAAGACATCAGGAAAATAGGGTTGTTTTTACCAGGCAGGGGGTCGGTGGAACGAGAGAGAATCGAAAAACAATTACAAACCCCCCGCGTTTAACAACGGCAGCGGAGTATCAAAGACACCGATTACAAGACTTAAAACACGAATTAAAAAAATAATATTAAAAAAAGCAGAGAGTGAAAGGAGACCGGGGGGAAAAGGGGGAAGAAAAAGGAAAAGGAACGGGTCGTTATGACCCAAGAGAAAAATGATATAAAAAGGGGTTGAGAGCGCGGGGGGCGGCCGGGTCGATATGCCGAGGGCGTGCTCGAAGGCGGACTCGGGGGTGCGCCACGCCCCCCGGCTCGATATCCGATACACGCATACACACAAACGCACGCACGCATGCACACACGTACATAAACCCATGCCCTTTAATTATACAAGGCTCCTATAATTGAATATTTGGAATATTGTTTGCCACTCGAACCCATACCATCGTACAAATTTACTTCCAGGTTACCCCCTTAAAAAAATCTCCAATTAGCGAAAATAAAATTTTCAAATTTAATCCAGAGGGCTAATTAATACGGAACGATCTTTTATTACAGCGACAACGAACCTCGGAACATTTTCGAGATTTTATTATTCAACAACCCGACGATCCGTGTGACAAAGAATAAATTTATAAAGTCTTTGAATACACAAAATAGAATGGAGAGTACTCTATAGAGGGTTGAGGAAATAGTATATCTATTTTCATATTTATTCTAACAATAGACCAATACGACTACATTATTAATAATGACGTTATTTTGACGTTAAATCGTGTATCTGCGAACTAACTTCGAATAATGTCTAGGTGTTTGTTTGTATTAAGGTAGATATATTCATAAATGTATGTACCTATGGACCATGGAACTATCAATCTATCTAACCTGTATAGACGTTATATTCCTACCTAAATTTATACTTCTTCGTAACTACTCATATCGACAACCAACCATACATCTACCTTTAAATTTATCTGTCTAGTTGGAGATATTCATCAATCAAATAAAAACTGTCAATCAATCTATTATTTATATACCATTGAATTTTTTCATTCGTTCTTCGTTTTACATATATCTATGTACGTACCTGTCTTTTCATCTATCTTAGATGGAAATAATGATCTGCACATGTACATAAGAACGAATCAATCCACAATCTATCTACGATAGATAAATTTCCTCACTACGTTTCACCTAGATGCTAAAATTATATTATTTCCTACCTAACTACCAACCAACTTTCTTCTTCTTTTTGTTTTTTTCTTCCTTCTTGGAGATCTATCGACCTACTATGTACCTATCTGACTTTTTACCTATCTTATATGGAAATAAATACCTATACTTGTACCAATTTACCTAAGAACTAAATATTACTCTACCATCTATATAAGATGGATAAAATTTACTCTCTACTTCCCACCTATATGTTAAAATTATTTTATTTCCTACCTAACTACCAACCAACATTGACTTTCTTCCTTTTTTACTTGTTCTTGTAGATCTATAAACCTCCTAGCTATCTATCTGGCTTTTTATCTATCTTATAGGGAAATAATGATCAAAACTTGTATCAATTTTCATAACAACTACATATATCGATCTACTTTCTTTTCTACGATGGATAACATTTACTATCTACTTCCCACCTAGATGTTAAAATTATATTATTTCCTACTTAACTACCAACCAACATTGACTTTCTTCCTTTTTTACTTTTTTTGTAGAACTATCGACCTACTAGCTAGCTATCTATCTTTCTTTTTTTCTATCTTATATGAAAATTATGATCTATATTTGTATCAATTTACATAATCAGTATATACTGCCACCTTTCTATGATCGAGATAACTTTATATAGAGATATTTATTATTGGCGCGAATCAATCGAAGTTGTTTCGATAGTTATTTTCCTAGGTAAGTGAACTATAAACCCATAGTTGGAGTACATTAACCCTAGTAAAAACTTGGATTTAATAACCCAAAAGAGTTGTCCTCGTTTGTGGATAGGTTTTTTTTGTGTAAGTTGATTCAAGTGTCATTTGTTGGAGGCAGTAACTTTGAACAAATAGACTATTCAGATGGTGGATATTTGTTATTGGCGTGTAAAAATTACAATTATTCCGGTAGTTATTCTCCTAGATAAGTGAGAACTATAAACCCCTAGTTGGAGGACAATAGCTCTCGTACAAACTTTGAATTAAGAGCCTCAAATATTTGTCTTCGTTTGTGGATATGTTTTTGTTGTGTAAGCTGATTCAAGTGTCATTTGTTGGAGGCAGTAACTTTGAACAAATAGTCTATTCAGATGGTGGATATTTGTTATTGGCGTGAAAAAATTACAATTATTCCGGTAGTTATTCTCCTAGATAAGTGAGAACTATAAACCCCTAGTTGGAGGACAATAGCCCTCGTTCAAACTTTGAACTAAGAGCCTCAAATATTTGTCTTCGTTTGTGGATATATTTTTGTTATGTAAGTGGATGCAGGTCTCCTTTGTTGGAGGCAGTGTCTTTGAACGAATAGTCGATTCAGATGGTGGATATTTATTATTGGCGTTAAAAAAAAAAATTGCAATTGTTTCGGTAGCTGTTTTCCTAGATTGGAGCACAATAGCTCTAGCACAAACTTTGAATTAATAGCTCCAAACATTTGTCTTCGTTTGTGGATATGTCTTTGTTGTGTAAGTTGATTCAGGTGTCATTTGTTAGAGGCACCAGGTCTTTGAACAAATAGTCGACTGTTTCATTTAAGAGATGGAGATTTATTATTGGCATGACTCAATCGAAGTTGTTTCAATAGTTATTTTCCTACATAAGTGAACTACAAACGCATAGTTGGAGGGCAATAGTCCTAGTACAGCTTAGACACCTCAGAAATATATAAACATCTGTAAAATCTATACTTCTAAGAGGAGGAAAT